GTCCCTTCGAGCGCCTTGCTGGCCTTCATCGGGGCTCACTACCAACACGAGCTGCCCTAATATGTAAATGAGATCAAATTTGAATTTGTGATCATACTGGAGGAATCTGATGAGCTATAAAGTAGGGGCGGGTTGAACGTTACAGCAACAAAAAACCGAAAATACGATCGGAGTGCAAGGTATAGGAAAAGTAAACAAATCAGTAAAAAAGTTACTAAGCAATTTTTGTATCTTATCAGGCAACATCCAATGAGGTATTAGCTTATATTTCAGAAGCCACTTGACCACAAATGATAACTCATGTCTGGGGGCCGCTATGAAGGCAGCCTGAGATGAACATGATGTATGCTGAACTTCTTTCGCACCGTACATAGCCAACCGTGCTAATCCGAAGTGCCGGGGAAGGACAACAACATAATAGGTTAGGGACAGGGCTATAGGGTCAGGGCTATAGGAGGGGCACTGCAGGTTCTCCACAAGGCACGTGATGCCCTCTAGTGGACGAACGCACAACTACAGCTGCTGCTGTTGCTGCTGCAACGCAAGGAACAAGACAAGCGGGCTGTACAGCCTCCACATCGCCACTTTCTCCACGCACACAAAGCGAACCTTCTCAGAGTGCATCTCATCATCAACATTAACTCAGCGCAAACAGCACCCTGAAACAGGCTTCGTCTCTCAGTGTCTCATCAGCAGTCATGTGGAGGACGTCACCTGCTCATGAATATTAATGAGGGGGGCTGGTGGATGTGGAGTGACGTCACGAGCGTTAAGGACAGACATTCCTGGGTGATGAGAGTAGATCTATGGGCCTGCTTCAGCACAGGACCGTGTAGCGCAGTGGCAGGAGCCTGGCGCTGCTGCTGCTGCTGCCTGCCACTGCGGTGCACGGCGGAGACGCGGCGCCCTCTCGTGGGCGAGTCTCTGGGACTGCAGATTATTGGGTGAAGCTGCGTTGGCAGCGACGCCACGAACGCAATTCAAGACGACAAACTCAACACATTGGCCAATCACCCTGTGGCCTGAAAGAACCTCGACAGGCGGAAAAGTCGCGCCATTGGACTTGTGTCCAGCCCAGCGGCTCTCTCGTCACCAGCGGGGGGACGACCTCGCGAGAAGCCGCCTCGGCGCGTGGCCTCGTCCCGCGACCTCTGCCGCTGCCGCGTGGTGGTGGAGGTGGATGGTGGTGGGGTGGTGGAGGTGGTGGTGGTGGTGGTGGTGTGGTGGTGGTGGTGGTGGTGGTGGAGGTGGTGGTGGTGGTGGTGGAGGTGGTGGTGGAGGTGGTGGAGGTGGTGGAGGTGGTGTGGTGGTGGTGGTGTGGTGGTGGAGGTGGTGGTGGAGGTGGTGGAGGTGGTGGTGGAGGTGGTGGTGGTGGAGGTGGTGTGGTGGAGGTGGTGGTGGTGGGAGGTGGTGGTGGTGGTGGAGTGGTGGTGGTGTGGTGGAGGTGTGGTGGTGGAGGTGGTGGTGGAGTGGTGGTGGTGGAGGTGGTGGTGTGGTGGTGGAGGTGGTGGGGAGGTGGTGGTGGTGGGGAGGTGGTGGGGAGGTGGTGGGTGGTGGGTGGTGGAGGTGGTGGTGGAGGTGGTGGTGGAGGTGGTGGTGGAGGTGGTGGTGGAGGTGTGGTGGGTGTGGAGGTGGTGGTGGTGGAGGTGGTGGTGGAGGTGGTGGTGGAGGTGGTGGTGGTGAATGTGGTGGTGGAAGTGGTGGTGAGGTGGTGGAGGTGGTGGTGGGTGGTGGTGGTGTGGTGGAGGTGGTGGTGGTGGTGGAGGGGTGGTGGAGGTGGTGTGGAGGTGGTGGTGGAGGTGGTGGGGTGGGGGGGGTGGTGGTGGGGGGAGGTGGTGGTGGTGGGTGGTGGTGGAGGTGGTGGTGAAGGTGGTGGTGGTGGTGGTGGTGGTGGAGTGGTGGTGGTGGAGGTGTGGTGGTGGTGGAGGTGGTGGTGGTGGTGGAGGTGGTGGTGGTGGAGGTGGTGGTGTGGTGGAGGTGGTGGTGGTGGAGGTGGTGGTGGTGGTGGAGTGTGGAGGTGGTGGGGTGGAGGGGGTGTGGTGGTGGTGGAGGTGGGGGTGGGGTGGAGGTGTGGTGGTGAGGGGTGGTGTGGTGGTGGGGTGGTGGAGGTGGGGTGGTGTGGAGGTGGTGGTGTGGTGGGGTGGAGTGGTGGTGGTGGTGAGGTGGTGGAGGTGGTGTGGTGGAGGTGGTGGTGGTGGTGGGGTGGTGGAGGTGGTGGTGGTGGGGTGGTGGTGGAGGTGGTGGTGGTGGTGGAGGTGGTGGTGGTGGTGGGGTGTGGTGGTGGTGGAGGTGGGGTGGTGGTGGTGGTGGTGTGGTGGAGGTGGTGGTGGTGGAGTGGTGGTGGTGGAGGTGGTGGTGGTGGTGGAGGTGTGGGGAGGTGGTGGTGGGGTGGTGGAGGTGGGTGGTGGAGGAGGTGGTGTGGTGGTGGTGGGTGGTGTGGTGGAGGTGTGGTGGTGGTGGAGGTGGTGGTGGTGTGGAGGTGGTGGTGGAGTGTGGTGGTGGAGGTGGTGGTGGTGGGAATGGGACGCGAACCCTGGAGATCTCCTCCTCCCCTTCTCGCGAGCTAAACGACCTCACCCGCTAAACTTTAACCGAGTGTCCATGTCGTGAGGTATCCGAACTCTGCTCACTGCAAGGGAGTAAAAATCGACGGACGCTCTGCACGCGTGACGTCATTTGTCCGCCCTCGCTGCTTCCTATTGGAAACCGCATTGCTTACGATCTACAAGTTTATAAAGGTCTTTAACATAGTTGTAAGTGATCATACGGATTCAACATTTGTCGTAGTTATTCTATACGAGCAGATTCGTACATAATTATTCCCCAATCTATAGTCAAATGTAGAGTATAATTTCACACATGTATACATCACCTCACTACACCCCACTAATAACCGAACGAGGAAGAAGGTCGTGCAGACAAACGAGTCGCCTTGTAACGAGTGCGTGGTCTCGGTGCGTGCGTGGTGAAGTCGGCGCGGGAGGTCGGGGGGCAAAGGGACGCGGCGGGGGGCGTAGACGCCGCCGCCGCCGCCGCGTGTCGTCTGCGGAGTCCCTCTTGCGTCTGTGGCCACAGCGAGACCCCCGCGACTCGACGGCGGCGCCAAGTGGAGACCTCGGGTCGGCCCTGTGACGTCACCGCCTTGCCACGCGGTGGCGCCACAGCGCGGCAGCAGCGGCAGCAGCGGCACCTCGCGGTTTTGTTGGTCGTAGCACCGAAATAAACTTACTAGCGTAGCAGCTACACGCTGTGTGGGCTCGGTGCGTGGGTGTAGAGGGGCTTGTGAAACGTGGACCCCCCCTAATGGAATAGCTGCGCCGGTTAGAAACGTCTAGGCTGTCCTGCCTACGATCCATCCTGGGGTTAACCTGCAGGCTGGATCGTGTGAGGAGCTCGCAGTTCCTTGAAAGATCTGGACAAAGTCCCTGCAGGCAAGGCTGCGTTGGCTGGGTCATGTAGCCCGCATGCCCAGCCACCGCATGGCCAAGCAGCTTCTGTTTGGCCGGATAGACGGGCCTAAACGGGCACGACATGTTCTTTGGGTAAATTCACGTAGACAGGTTCAAAGAAAGAAGCAGTCACGAAAGCGTTAAGTCAAGATTTGGGCACGACATGGGCTGGAGTAGAGATAAACTGATGCGGTACGGGAGCATGTGGAGCTGAGTGGTCTTGCCTCTCTCCATTGTACCCACTACATTAGTATGTTGAAGGGTGTGTTTAAGTGTATAGAGGTGTGTGTGTAGGTGTATAGAGGTGTGTGTGTAGGTGTGAGTGTATAGAGGTGTGTGTAGGTGTGTGTGAGTGTATAGAGGTGTGTGTGTAGGTGTGTGTGTATGTGTGTGTAAGTGTATAGAGGTGTGTGTACGTGTGTGTGAGTGTATAGAGGTGTGTGTGTAGGTGTGTGTAAGTGAATAGAAGTGTGTGTGTAGGTGTGAGTGTATAGAGGTGTGTGGAGGTGTGTGTGAGTGTGTGTGAGTGTATAGAGGTGTGTAGGTGTGTGTGAGTGTGTAGAAGTGTGTGTGTAGGTGTGTGTGTAAGTGTATAGAGGTGTGTGTGTAGGTGTGTGAGTGTATAGAGGTGTGTGTAGGTGTGTGTGAGTGTATAGAGGGGTGTGTGTAGGTGTGTGTAAGTGTCTAGAGGTGTGTGTGTAGGTGTGTGTAAGTGTATAGAGGTGTGTGTAGGTGTGTGTAAGTGTAAAGAGGTGTGTGTGTGAGTTTATAGAGGTGTGTGTGTGTGAGTGTATAGAGGTGTGTGAAAGTGTCTAGAGGGGTGTGTAGGTGTGTGTAAGTGTCTAGAGGTGTGTGTGTAGGTGTGTGTAAGTGTCTAGAGGTGTGTGTAGGTGTGTGTAAGTGTATAGAGGTGTGTGTATGTGTGTGTAAGTGTATAGAGGTGTGTGTGTATGTGTGTGTAAGTGTATAGAGGTGTGTGTAGGTGTGTGTAAGTGTACGGAGGTGTTCGGGTGAGTAACCCTGGCAGCGTAACGCTGCTGGCGTCTCGTGCTGCCGCCTGTACCGCGCCTTGTCCACCAGAGGGCATCGCCTACACACGGGTTGTGTGGCGTCAGGGTGAGAAGTGGAGGGTGGGGGAGGGGTCCGGGGGGGGGGGGGCTGCTGCTGCAGCGCTCAGCTGAAGCAGCAGCCGCTGAAAGTCACCGTAAACGTGAACACAATCAGTTAAGATCCGAAATGGTTTATTACGTCCTTCCAATGATTGCTAAGCCCAAATCCATCTTCTCGGTTGAAATTGTCGTTGATGAGGCGATCCACATATACAAACACAGAGACAGTATATAATTTAATGTTGGGTTTGTCTATGGCAGTATATAGTACGGTGTAGACTCGTGTGATGAAAGAGAATAAAGTTTAGATGGAAGCATATTATATAATTTTTACGACGTAGAATTGTAATGTATTACTTACTGTTAGTAACTCAGCTTATTGTAGAGTATAGTAAGTATACTGATGATACTATGTGGTTTATACTTTAGTTGTTTACATGTTGGTTTTAGTTGTTGCAGCTACATACTGTTAACACTCCTTCCCTTTATTAATGCTACCCCTATCCCCTCCCTTTGATGCTGAATTAGTACTATTCACATACCTGCATTTCCCATATCCTCTCCCTTTGATACTGCTAATCCTGCATAATGCACAGGTATATGTAGTACTAATCACATTCCTGCATTTCCCATGGAAATGTTAAATTCCTCTTGATATGCAAATTCCTTTGTCAAGGCGCCCAGCTTATATATATGCTCCAAGCTCGTGTGGTGTTTCATTCAGACGCTGTCGCCTCGACAGACCTGGTTTTCACCTGAGGACGGCTGCTTGCATTGTGGCCGAAACGTCGTGAGAATTATTTTATTATGTTTATTTTATTTTATTACTTCCCTTCTACGTGACTTTACCGAAAGAACCAAGAAGATGAATCACTGCAGTCACGAAAGCTTTAAGTCGAGATGTAGAGGTGTTACGTACCGGGGTGTAGCAAGCCATTACGTTGCGGTGTCTACATCACGGTCCGTGCGTGGGGTGTCTTCATCAACGTCCGCATACAGCCCCGCCCCTCGGGGGGCAGTTGGCTATATAAGGCGGTGCGCGAGAGAGCTCGAGGCAATCGTTGGAGCAGAAGAGCCAGTGGCGACTGAAGACCAGCTAGCTAGCCCTGGGACTACCCTGACTCGCTGCTCTTATAAGAGCCGAGCAGGGCAAGCCAGGGGCGACCTCAGAGCAGCGAGGTCTGTGTCCTTGTGAGGGCCAGGCTCGTGTGGCTGAGGGTCGGACCTGAGCCGAAGCTGGGCCAGGTCAGTGAGCCTCTACAGTAAAATGAAAAACAATTAAATATTCGTTTATTGTGTGGATGAGTGGGTGCGTGCGTGAGTGGGTGCGTGGGTGGATGAGTGAGTGGATGGGTTGATGCGTCGTAGGTGAGTCGCTGAGTGAGTGAGTGGCTGGGTGCATGAGTGTGGGTTAGTGATTGAGTGGGTGGCTTAGTGAGTGGTTCAGTGTATGAATGGCTCAGTAGTTGAGTGGGTGAGTGTGAGTGGCTCGGTGGTTGAGTTCGTGGGTGGTTGAATGTTTTGGTGGTTGAATTATTGGGTGGTTGAGTGATGGGATGGGTGGGTGAATAATTACGTGGTTAGTGGGTGAGTTGCTGAGGGAGTGGCTGGGTGGTTGGGCGAGAGGGTGGGTTAGAAATTGAGTGGGTAGCATGGTGAGTGGATGTGGATGTGACTGGGTGAGTAGGTGAGTGGCTGGGTGAGTATGTGAGTGGATGGATGAGTGAGGGGGTGAGTGGGTTTGTGGATGAGTGAGTGTGTGGGTAGGAATGAAACACCACCACGCTTGGAGCGTATATTTAAGCTGGGTTGGAAGGGGGGAAGGGCGCCTTGACAAAATAATTTGCATATCAAGAGGAATTTAGCATATTTATGGGAAATGCAGGTATGTGATTAGTACTACTTGTGAAATGCGTAGGAGGTGGGCAGGGGGTTTAAAGTCATATTATGCCCGTTGATTATGCAGGATTAGCAGCATCAAAGGGAGGGGATAGGGGTGGCATTAATAAAGGAATGTTAATAGTATGTAGCTGCAGTAACTAAACCACCACGTAAACAACTAAAGTATAAACTACGTAGACATCTCTAACGGCCAAACTGCCAGTGGCGCGAGACGCGGGGGCGGTACAAGGTAACCACGCCCCCCCCGTGATGTCACAGCCATTAGCTCCTCCCCCATGCCCCTCCCCCTCACCCCCCACGCCCCTCCCCCTCACCCCCCAATCTCCCCCCTGCCCCCCCTCGCGACCACCTTCAATGTCCCCTCCCCCCCTCGCGAACCCCCCATGCCCCTCCCCCCTCACCCCCATACCCCACCCCCCTCACCCCCCATGCCCCACCCCTCACCCCCATGCCCCTCACCCCCCCCCGAACCCCCATGCCCCACCCCCTCACCCCCATGCCCACCCCCCTCACCCCCCATGCCCCCCCCCTCACCCCCATGCCCCACCCCCCTCACCCCCCATGCCCCCCACCTCCCGCACCCCAGTTGCCCACCGCCCCCTCACCCCCCATGCCCCACCCCCGCACCCCCCATGGCCCACTCCCCCTCACCCCCCATTCCCCACTCCCCCTCACCCTCCATGCCCCATCCCCCTCACCCCCCCATGTCCCTCCCCCTTACTCCTCCATGCCCCACACCCCCTCGACCCCCCATGCCCCTCCCCTCACCCCATCCGCCACCCCATGCCACCCCCATGCCCTCCCCACTCCTCACCCCCATGCCCCATCCACCTCAACGCCCCCATGCCACCCACCTCACCCCCCATGCCCCACCCCCTCACCCCCCATGCCCCACCCCCCTCACCCCCATGCCCCACCCCCTCACCCCCCATGCCCCACCCCCTCACCCCCATGCCCACCCCCTCACCCCCCATGCCCCACCCCCCTCACCCCATGCCCTCCCCCTCACGCCCCCGTGCCCCACCCCCTCACCCCCCATGCCCCACCCCCTCACCCCCCATGCCCCACCCCCCTCACACCCCCATGCCCACCCCCCCTCCCCCCTATGCCCCCCCCCCTCACCCCCCATGCCCCACCCCCCTGCCCCACCCCCCATGCCCCACCCCCTCACCCCCCTGCCCCACCCCTCACCCCCCATGCCCCACCCCCCTCACCCCCCATGCCCCTCCCCCTCACCCCCCATGCCCCACCCCCTCACCCCCCATGCCCCACCCCCCTGCCCCCCCCCCCTCACCCCCCATGCCCCACCCCCCTCACCCCCATGCCCCCCCCCTCACCCCCCCATGCCCTCACCCCCCATGCCCCACCCCCCATGCCCACCCCCCCCCCCATGCCCCCCACCCCCTCACCCCCCATGCCCCACCCCCCTCCCCCCATGCCCCCCCCTCACCCCCCATGCCCCACCCCCTCCCCCCCCATGCCCCACCCCCTCACCCCCCATGCCCCACCCCCTCACCCCCCATGCCCCACCCCCCTCCCCCCATGCCCCACCCCCCTCACCCATGCCCCACCCCCCTCACCCCCATGCCCCTCCCCCCCCATGCCCACCCCCCATGCCCCACCCCCTCACCCCCCATGCCCCACCCCCTCACCCCCATGCCCCACCCCCTCACCCCCCATGCCCCTCCCCCCTCACCCCCCATGCCCCACCCCCTCACCCCCCATGCCTCTCACCCCCATGCCCCACCCCCC